TGATATATATTTGATTTAATTTTTTTATATTTATTTAATTTAATCATTAAAAATATAATATAAATATAATTAATTCAGTCAATTTTATATTTTGTGTACATAATTATATTTTAAATTTTATATAATTTAAATTTCAAATCATAAAATAATAATTTAAAAAAAAACATATTTTACAATGTATTAAATTAGAATAAATAAGAATTAGTGTCCTTATCTAAAACATCCCGAAAGTGGCCTGATTTATTTTTGGATGTGTGGTGTTCAGCGTTTGAGGCTGCCATTATGTTGCCATTTTTTTTTTTTTTTTGGTAGAAAGCTCCTATCATGTTGCTTGAAAATAAAAAAAGTGGCCTAATTTATCTTTGGATGGTATGGTGTTTGGCCATTGTTATTTTCGAACAATAAAAATGTTAAAGTCACGTGTAAAAACGTTGGCTATATTTAATTTGATTAAGGTGTTTAAAATATTAAGATATATATTAAACTAAATACACACATAATATTTTTATGTGATAATATTTTTTTAATGTAACAATAACCATCACCGTGATGTTCATCACCTATGGAAGCTATATCTGGTTGATTATGCGTCTGAGGCCCTATTATTGACCGAAAGGAAAAAAGTAGCCTGATATATCATTGGATGTATGGTGTTCATCATCTCCGATGGAAGCTGTACAGAGTTGATTTTTAGTCTGGTGTCCGATGTGGAGTGCGAAGTTATGCTTATGGTTATTTTTAAATTTTATTAGCATCACTCAAACGATTAAATGTTTTTTAATATGATTATTAATAACAGTTAATAATTGATAAAATAATTATTTTAATATTCATTATTTTATAAATTAAAATTAATTTATAAATAAATATTTTTAAATAACATAATTATTTTAAAAAAATATAAATTAATAAATTTATAATTAAACATACACTCTTAACAAAATAACATGCCACAATAACCACAGTCGGTGTGGGGTTTGAGTTGTTTTTGTTGAAGGGAGAAAGCTTAAGAGGAATAAGTGAAACAGGAATGGGGAATAGTGTGTGTGATTTCATTGCTTTTTGTTTTACGTTGACAAGGTTGTATGGGTGTATGTAAGACCCCTCCTCGTTCCTAAATGAAAATAATTATGTTTCACCAATAAAAAGATAAATAATAAAAAAGAAAGATGTGGACTTTTAGGTTGATTTGTATAGAAAGAGTGGAAGAATATTTATAAAGAATATTTAAATATTTTTTTGTGATTCATTAAAGATATATAAGACAAAACAAATTAAATTACTTACAAGTTGATCCTCTGTCCACAATCTCAGCAATTTGACCGAACGTGACACACGGACACCAACACGTTATGCAACCTGCAAAATAAATTAGCAAGCGAACAAAAATGATCCACAATACTTTTTAAGTAATGGCCTTTAAGGACCAAGAAGCTAATATTTTCAAGTGGAAACTTACAGTTGGGAATGTCCGAGAGGCAGTCACAAAGGCTAGAGGACCCAGTGCCTTCAGTTCCAGGCTGAAGAGGAGGCGGAGACGGGGCTGCCGATCCCTGGCTAAAGGCCGCAGGCTACGGTTTCGACGGCTCCTGATGATAAGTTACATTGGGATTTGAGGACATGTTGTCTTGGTGGATGGATGGATGGATGAATGCTAGAGAAGAAATGCATGTCCGATCAATTGTTTTTGAGTTCAAATATATAATAAAGGGAGATGTTCATGTTATGATGGATTCCACGACTTAGAAAAGAATAAAGATAAAAGGACAAATTTTATGGTTCTAAAATTTAAAATTATTGATATAGTGTGAGTTATATTATTTAAAATATTAAAAGTAAATATTATATTATTAGATTTTTTTTATTAAAATTTATGATATAACATATATCAACTCATTTAATTATATAATTTATATTATATCATTAATTTTAAATTTTTATTCTCTATATCGTTACTCTTTAGAAAAAAAAAAATTCTTTTTGAACAGCCTCTTTAGAAAAATATTGATGTGGGACAAGTTAGGGGATACGATTGAAGATAGATTTAGGCTATAGACAGCGCATATGAACAATGAATAGGGTTTTGAGTGGTTGTGTAGGGTGAGGAAAAGAGAAAAATGAAAAAAGATAATACAAAAAAAAGATAAAAATCTTATAAGTTACACTTACGATTTTTTAAATGTCACATTTAAAGAGAATAAAAACCTTTAAACATGCATCACACCTAATGTTCATTATATTATATAACTAAGATTGTTTCATACAATTTTAAGAGAAAACTTTTTGAGAAAACTCTTATTTCAAATTTATGAATTTTCAACTAACTTCACTCCATAATAAAAAGTAGTTACAAGTGTGTATATATATATATATATATTTATAAACTACTAATACTTGCACTAGAACTCCTATTCTAATTAGAATCATAACTCGAAATTTTAAGTTCAATTAAGACTTAGGCTCTTGATAAATAAAAGGACAATAATTCATAAGCACTCACTTTGTTATCCTATGGCACACAGTACTGCCTTAAAAAATTAATATTTGATGATTCGAAATTAGATGCTCAATGGCTTAAACTCGCTATCATTTAGACTACATTTCTTTATTTTTGTTTCCAAACATACTCATTTGCAGCAGTTGAAAGTAAAAGAACCCCTTCCATCCAAAAAAGAAAGTAGAAGAACCCCAAAATTTTGTTTTGACTGGCTAAGGCCTTGCTTGCCATGAAACTGGTGCCGCTAGCGTGGATCGGCAGTAGCCATGTAGAGAAGCTATTCCTCTTCTGCCAATCTTGGACTCTTCTCTTCCACTTGATAACCATCGCACCAAGACCCACAAAGGCGCCATCATGGCAAACCCAACCGCTGCCACCGTGCCTTTGGTTCCCAAGCCAGCACCAATTCCATCAATGCCAAACTCCCCATCCTAACTATCCACCAAATTGCTTATCTTCGACACCTCGAAACCATTTAGAATTGCATAAATAGTTCCAATCTTCTCTCATTCATGGATCCAATCTAAGCGGAGAGCCATTCCAACATGGTGGAAGCATTCACAACATACTATATCTTTATAGTACAACTCATTGGACAGCGAAAGAGATTCTAGACAAGCGAGGGATACAAATTACAAAAAATAAAAATCTCTCAAAAATGTTATTGAAGGAAGCCAACATCGCCTATAGAACTAAAAGTCACGTTGCATGTCCTGCGATCTTTAAATGAGACAAATGTTGACGAATATATTTGACGAAAAACAAAAAGAAACCATCGAAGGGTTATTTAAATTATTTAGAATTTCTAAGTAATTATTTTTATTTGAATGTAGTTATTATTAATTTTTTTCATTTTTATTAAAATTAGATCTTTTATTAAAAATCTTAAAAGTCTTTTATTATTTTTATTGAAGAAAATAATAAGTTCACACTTTATACCTATAAATTAGGTCAAGTTTAATTTTTTTTTTATATATATTTTGGTTGCACAATAGAAGGCAACCATTTTTCATTCCTTACCTTACTCCATCCGCATATTATGCGATTCAAATTCAGAATTTTTTACTTCTAACGAAAAAAAGATGACTATTAAACTACTTAATTCGTGGGCACCTTAGTTTAATTATTAAAAATACATTTTTGTCCCATGAGTTTACCTATACTAGTACTCTTTTAAAAATATAAATTTATGATTTTTAATTAATTTTAATTTATCTTTTATATATTTGTAATAATTTTAATTAATATAATATTTTATATATTTGTAAGATAATGAAAGAAAAAAAAATTCACTAACTACAGGGAGAGATGGACTTGCGCATGAATTTAGCTTCCAAAGTCCGTTCCTATAGTTTAATATGGAAAACGAGAACTAATCCAACTAGCACTACTAAAATCCTCTTTTCAGTAACTAAGTATTAGCAACATGGAATTGCACGTCGGTGATACAAATTTTCACCAACGAAACCCATGTTGCTAATACTTAAATAGTACTCACTCTCCCAAAAAGTGTTCTTCACTTTCAACAACATGGTTCTTGTTGTTGAAAGTGAATTTCAGCAACAAGCACCATGTTGCTAAAATTTTCCGATTATCCATGCCCCCGCTAATTGACCGGCAATTTATGGTGTGGATTTTCACCGACAACACCTATGTTGCTAATACTTAAAAGTGATCTTCATTTTTCAACAACATGGTTCTTGTTGCTGAAAGTGAATTTCAGCAACAAGAACCATGTTGCTAAAATTTTTAGATAGACCAGCAACCACCCTATTCCTAACTAATAATTAGCAATATGGGTAATATGGTAATTAGAGTGAGATTTACCAACATAATCCATGTTGGTGATAATTCCAACTATAAAATTATCAAATTTATCCTTAAACTTTATTTTTTCACTGCCAACTTGGTCCTTCCATCAATAGAGTACCCGACTAGCATGTTAACATGCCATGAATTTATATTTTTGAAATTCAAAGAATTACATGTAAAAAAACCAGTGCCATATGGATGATTTGGCAACCTCTATGTATAATCTACATTTTCACATGTAAAATTGAAAAATTGAAGAAGTTAATTTCAAACTTGATCATCTAGGTAAATAATTAAATAATTAAATAATAACAATTAGTTATAACATATATAATTAAATAATTATCATTTTACAATGTTAATTAAATTTAAATTTTAAGGAAAATTAACAAGTTGGTAACGAAAAAATGAAGTTTAAGGATAAATTTGATAATTTAATAAGTTTAAGAATGAACTTAGTCTAAAACTGAAAGTTCAAGGACCAAATTAAATATTTAACCTAACTGAAAATTAATTTTTCTTTTTGAGGGAATTGAACATCAGCGAGATAAGCCTTGTCGGTGAAAATCTTTTTCACTGACAAGGCTCACCTTGCTGATAGATAATTGCTATAAAAAAAATTAATAGTGGAATATTAATGGTCACGTATAATAAATTAAAATTTTTATTTTGTAATTCATAAATTAAATGAATTTAAATGAAATTAATTTTAATCACTTCATCTTATTTGTTCCTTCTTCTCATTCTTAGCCGCCTCCTCCTCCTCCTCCTCTTCCTCCTCCTCATCCTTGTCATCCTACTCACCATCATCTTCATCATCCCTCTTCAAATTAAAATTTCCTGGGTTCCCCCTGGAACACAGATCTGGGTTCCACGTACAATTTTTTCAATCAAGTTAGTTAAAATCTAAAAGAATTAATTTTCCAGCCTTAGTTGTTCTTGATTTGATGTCTGGTTTGGGTGTTCTCAGTTTTGAATCTACAATGGAAGTGTTCTAATCTTGAATCTAATTCAACTTTTCTTTGAAAATAATCAAAATGCTAATTTGTTATACTTGGACTTGAATCTCTTCTTTACGAGTTAGTAATCTCGCGATGAACTACTCAATTTCATGTTTCAATGTTTTCAACGTGGAAATCCAAATCTTAAATGCTCCAATCTTTTGTCTAATATAACTTTTCTTTGAAATTTTAAGACTCAAATTGTTATACTGGAAAGAGTTGAACCTCTGCTTTATGCGTTATTAATCTCACGAAGAACAAGTGAGATATTTAGAAGAAGATTTTGCATTGCTTAATTTAGTAATTGTCCATGTTGATCTCCTGTTGTTTTGGTCGGCAATTAATTTCATGTTGTCGAGGCCGGAGGAAGGGGAGGATAAGACAGAAGGGGGAAGAAGATAAAGACAAATAAGTAATTAAAAAAAGAACTCTTACTCAAAAAAATAATTTTTAAAATAATTATGACGATAATTATGTAATTAAATAATTTTTAAAGTTATATTATACAAAAAATTTTGTCATGTTATTAATTTTTACCAAATGAATTTACTCACATAATTTAAGTAAAATAAATAAAATTTTTTATTAGTTAACATTTTATATTAATTAAAATTTAATTGATGGATAAAAAGAAGTTAAATTTTAAATTTTAAGAATAAAAAAAAATTTCAATACAGAAACTGAAAATGAACTTTTTCCTAAAGTGATCAAAAAATATATTTAACTTTTGTTTTAATTTTTTTTGTTTGAAGAAGCCGGATATATAATCTTATATTTGTCTCTTCAACCAAGTTTA